TGGATCCTGTTCGTAACCCAATCCGGCGTTTGCGAACGGAGGCAAAATTTTGCGAACGGAGCTGTTCGTGAACCGAATTGTTTGTGAACCGAGGTACCACTGTACATATATTTATATAGCCGCCCATCTCACAAAGCAACTCTAGGTGGCTATATAAATGTGATGTATAAACCAGAGGAAGCTCAAGGGGTTGCAATAAAGGGGAGTGGGTAACTTGGGGTGCCCACTTAAAACACCCTGGTCTTTTTTGCTGCATCCTCAGAGCTCCTTTTTTCTTTGTCTCCCACAGCCTTGTCTTGGATTTCAAGTTAATTACCTTCGCTTTTGCACAGCCACAAATGACAATCTTTGCCTGGCTCTGCATGTTCCTCTACACTTTATCTGTGCCCTACCAGGCCCTGCAAATATGGTCTGGCTCCTTGAAGACAGCCAGGTTCCCCGTCCTCTTCACGGTCACCTTGGTGGTGCTGCTGCTGCTCTGTCACATGGCATTTCTGGGCTTCTACCCCATCTATGTAGTGACCCATTTTAATCTGGGACCGGCCTCCTGTTGCATTGTCACCATTGAGCAGGTATGGCACCGGGGCACCTCAAAGAAGGTGGGTACAGGGGAAAGGAGTTCCTAAGCAGCGATGAGGGGTTATCTAAGGTGAGGGTGGACTTGTGGAGTAATTCTGGTTGCCACAGAACATCTCAATGTGGAAAGCATAGGATCCAATAGCGACAAATGCTACAATAGCCTCCAGATGTATACTTCCATAGACATTGTACAGAGAAGACATGGCAACCTCACCCCAGGTTTAAGGTAGCTTTCTCCTGACTGGGGCCCCCCAGATGGTCTGGACTAAAAATCCCATAACCTCCAACCAGGATGGCAAGATTAAAGATATATGCTTCACTATATGCTGCCCTGAACAAGGCATACATTTCTTTTATCTTGTGACAGAAGGTGTGCTCCTTAGCAGCCATTCAGTGGGTGTACAGTGGCAATTGCCGTGGCCTCAAATACGTGTCCTTGTGGAAAGAGGCTATTGTTGGTAGCAGGGAGACAAGCAGATTTCATCCAAGTGAGAAGTTGAGCTGAAAAGTCAGCAGGCAGTACAGCTGACAGATAGCCAAGTGAGTAAGCAGGGGCCATTTCTGCCTAAAGAGCCTAGCTGGCACCATAGGATCCAAGGAAACATGAGAGGCTCCCTTGGGTCACCCCAATTCTGCTGAGCTGATGGGTGCAATTCCATAGCAGAATACCCGAGTCTTCTGCAAGGATACCTAACAACATGACTCAAGTTCATACTGCTTCACTGCTCGTTTTCCCCTCCTGCATAGTTCCGGTTCCTGATGAAAAGCTACTCATTTCTGCGAGAATCTGTGCCTCCTCTTCTCCATGCCAGGGACCAAAAGGGTGAGTTTGACTTGGAGGCCCTCGGGGATGGTTAAGATGGCTACAAGACTCCCCCACAGCCCCTAAACGGATTTTCGACCGATGGCAGCAGCTTAGCTGTAACACAAGCATTGGCCTCAACACGCTAACTGCTGTCACAGCCTTTCTCAACCTGAAATTGGATTACAGTTTCCCTTACCCCAGGCAATATTATCAGTGATTGGGTATGGTAGATGTTGCAAGTAGATTGTAAGTACAGTACAAAGTTATATTGATGCAAAGTAAAGGGAATTTCTTGTCTTGGTCAAGTATCTCTCTCCATATCCCTCACCAAATCACAATTCCTCCTATTTCCCAGGCTTTGTTTTGCGTGAGGAGTTGCAGAGCCCCATCCCTGAGCATGGGAGATTTATTTATTTATCTATCTATTTCAAACAGCTTTCCCATCAGGATACAAAGCAGCTCACCACATTGTGACACGCAGTGCAAGATTTCATTGATAGCACTTTCTTACACATATCCTTGTGAACACATGGAGTAGTTGCTTTTCTTGCCTGTTGGTTCTGCGTACTGATGGAGACAGATTTGCAGAAAGCCGAATGCTGCATCCCGTATCACACCTTAACTAGAGTGGGTTTTTTGCAGCTGCTTTTTGTACACAGGAAGTATCATGGCATATACACAGCTCTGAGTACTTCCTGCTGAAATGCAGAGAGGGGAGATGCCTGCACTTGAGTATCATGTGTGCTCCAGGGCATCCGTTTCTTCAGTGCACAACACAAACCATTGTCCCTCTACCTGTCTCTGTACCCTCAACTATTCCTTTGCTTCTTTCCCCCCACTCCAGGGAAGATAAGCCCACCTGAATTCTCAACCTACCTGTATTATCTCTTCTGCCCTACTTTGATCTACAGAGAGAGCTATCCAAGGTTAGTCCTCGCACATCCCCCTTGTCTTTCTGGGCTTCCTGCGTTCTCAGCTCTAGCAAAAAAAAGTGGTCCAAACAGGCTTCAGGATCTACAGTCCATGTCCCCCTTTTCTGAGCAATGGCATAACCATTGTATTTCCCAAGAAAAAGGAACTGCACTCGTATCATATCTCAACCCAATCCCTATTCCTTTCCTTATAGGGAGCCATACATCCGCTGGAGTTATGTCATCCAAAGTTTGGCTAAGGTGAGAGAGACACATTAAGTTTCCATTGGCTGATTGGTTTTATCTGGCCTCTCTGTGGATGAAAAGTGTGCTTGCGGAATTGTGAGGGTTCTTTGCTTTCCAAGGACTGGACACACCACAGCATAGCAAATCTGTACACAATGCTTTATTGCAGCGCACACTTTCCCCAACAACAGGGTATTGCTCTCCACCCTTCTACGACTTGCAAGGTGATGTGGCCATGTAAATATGTTTTTAATACTCAATCCTTTAATACTTAATACTTAGTTCAAGCAAAAGTCTGTAAGTCTGTAAAGTGGCATACAACCTTCGCCTCTTTCCAAACGTTCTTACTCTAGTTGGGATGAGGCGCTGCTTCAGAGTAGTTGTTCCTCTTCTAGTTGCTGCTGAGCTCCTGGCAAACCTCCAAGCAGGGCTCCCACCAGGATATGCTGCTCGCCATGGCTTGTGGACCTGGCAGTTGAATGATAGTCCTCCTGCCTGCTTGTAATAGCTGCCAATCTCCAGATGTCGCCTCCACTTCCCTGTCTGTATGCCATTTGCTTGTCACCTTTCCTCCTACACACACCCTTCCCACTCTGTCTTAGCATTTGTTTTTGTTAAGGGCCAGGGTGGGGTGAGGCTGCCTCTGGACATCAGCACGTCCTTGAACACTCCAGGGTGAGGCTCAATTATCACAGGCAGCTGGAACGCTGGCTTGGATGCTTGTGAGGAAAGGTTGAGTTAGGGAAATGAGGGAAATGGGGTGTGAAGCATTTCTATCTGGCTGCAGCTACTTCTCCCAACTTCACTCCCTCACAGGAATATTGGATTTTCCCGTGAAACTTAGCTGGACTGGGAACCTAAGATGTCTTAGCTGGCCAAAGTACTAAATAGCAACAATGCTTTAAGAAGCCATGAGTGGCTAAAGGCCGCCATTTAAATTTCCCAGAGTTTCTAGCCTTGAGTGAGCGAGTGAGTTAAAAGATTTATCCTGAGTCACCTTTGATGCAAAAAAGATAATTATCCCTAAGAGACATACAATTTAAAACTTTAGAAACAATGTACGTATTTTAAAATATCTCCAACAGGAAAATTAAGAAGAAAAGGAAAAAGGGAAAAATGGTTTGAAAGAGAGCAGAGTTGATGGAACTTAAAATCACTCAGAAAGGGAGCGGTGAAAAAAAAATCTGTGACAGATTGACTAAAACTAAACAAAAGAGGGGCTGGTGTTGGAGGACAGTATTTGGAGGACAGTATTTCATTGTAAGAGATAAAAATGGCAGCTCAGTCCAGCTTCTGAGATCATAGGTCAGAAGAAAGTTATTCTTAGTCATAGCTGAGGGCTGGCAACTGATAAACTTCACCAGAACACCGAGATGCCAGCAGACACCCAAGGAACTGACCATGTCCCCAAGCCTAACTTCACTAAGGTAGAGTTTTTTTCTCTCTGTCCTACAGTTCCTGGTGGGTATATATTATATGAGTCTCATCCTAGAACACGTCTGCCTCTCTGACTTAAGAATCATGCATAAGCAGCCCTTCAGCATCAAAACCATGGTACTCTCCATCTTCCATGGAACAATAGCTGGTAGGTGGAAACAGCAATGATTTCGTCTGACTAATGGGATTAAGCAGTAATGCTATGGACTTTGGGGCAGAGGTCCATGGCCTCATTCAGTAGAAGAAACAGGAGAGCCTCAAAGATAGCCAGGCTGGTGTATCACATTTTAAAGAAAGTGAAGTGAGACATACTACCAGCTCAAGAGTTATCCCTTTCCACAGACAAGATATATATGGCTTTGGACTATATGTAAAATCCACAGAAAATGATGAGGTAGGTCTGGCAGGCTGCTTTTTTTATTCATGATGAAAGTATGTGAAATGGACCAGAAGTCAAGCAATGAAGTCTTCATAAATTCATTGTTGGATGATTCTATTTCCTGTAAAAATGCTTTAGTGACCTCTCATTTATTCCTTTCTTTGGCTTCTGTCTCAGTTATCCTCCACATGCGATACTCTGTGCCCCTTTCCATTGTTCCATTCACAATGCCCCAAGTCCATCATCTTCGTCATCTTTCCTTGCAATAATGGGTATGCAAAAATCCTGTAGATGTTGGGGGGAAACTAGAGAATGTGCTGCTGCTCATAAAGTTCTACTTGCCAAAAATGTTACCTTAGTTGACTTCTGAAAAGCAATTTTCTAGTCCTAGTTGTAAAGATTGGTTTGCAAGGCAGCTGGCAATGCGCTGCTGAAACCACAGGAGTCAGCTTAACTGCTGCTGAATCACACAGCCCATTGCCAGATGGTACAGCTGAAGAATTCTGTACAGGACTTTCTCCTTCTCCAAGATTAGAAGAATGCATAATGCAAAGTGGTTGGGGAAATGACAGAATAAAATTCTGTATTTTCATAATATATCTAATGATTGTACAATTCACCTATTCGGGTCACAGAAGTGTGAATACTTTGGTCTATGTATGTGTATGTGTGTGTGGGGGTAATTATAAATACAGTGGTACCTCGGGTCACAAACTTAGTTCGTTCCACGACTCTGGTCGCGACCCGAATTGGTCGCGACCCGAATCAAATTTTCCCATA